GAGGATGGGAAGGTATGGGAAGGGGAAACAAAGGAGGAGGCTACAATGCTTGATAAGAAATGTACTCATTATCTTGCCCATGTAATTGTAACCCCTCTTTACAGTATTTTTACAATAAAAAATTATTTTGAAGAAAAAAAATAAAAGAATTAGGGTTGAAGTTGAGATCTATATCTAATTCTATCTTTCCCTCCCCACACACCCTTGGGTCTTGCTGTAGTTTGGGCTCAAACTGGGAAGGGAGTACAGTTTGGAAGAGATCTGCCAAACGACCTTTTTCTTACCTTAAATGTTTGGGTGAATAGTTGAAAATATTTTACAAGGAATGGTAACTTTTGTCCTTGGAGAGATAATAGTGGATAAAAATCACAAAGTAGTTGGGCACTGGTGACTCATGCCTCTAAACCTAACTGCTCAGGAGGCTGAGATCTAAGGATCCTGGTTCAAAGTCAGTCTGGGCAAGAAAGTCCATGAGACTCTTCTCTCCAATTAGCCACCAGAAAAACCGGAACTGTTGCTGTAGCTCAAAGTGGTGGAGCTCTAGGCTTGAGCAAAATAGCCCAGGGACAGCACTGAGGCTCTTAGGACTTAACCCCCCCCCACAAAAAAAAAAGAAGGAAAAAAAAGTCACAAATCCATAATATTGCATGGAATAAGTATTGCATTTGATTTGGCCTTTAGACTTTGTTACTGTTTGCTCCTGGAGGCAGGGGGGTTATCTTTTGTTTTCTGTGTATCTTGAATTACCAGTATTGATGGTAGGAAGAAGCCCCTCATTTTTTAATGCAGAAATTCTGAAATATAAAATTTTAAGCTAACTGAATTTGTGTGTGTATGTCTGTGTGTGTGTGTATGTATGTGTGTTTCCTGGAGTGCATTTTGTCTTTTCTTTGTTTGGAGGGGGGGGCGTCTGATCGTGGGGCCTGGGCGCTGTCGCTCAGCACTTCAGCTCAAGGCTAGCGCTCTACCACTTGAGCCACAGCACCACTTCCAGCTTTTGCTGCTTATGTGGTTCTGAGAATTGAACCCAGGGCCTCATGCATGCAAGGCGAGCACTCTACCATTAAGCCACATTCCCAGCCCCTCCTGGAGTGCATTTTGATAAAACTGAAAGTCTTAAAAATTAATCCAGGGTTGGAAATGTAGCTTAGTGGTAGAGTGTTTGCTTAGCATTTATGAAGCCCTGGCTCGATTCCTCAGTACCACATAAACAGAAAAAGCCAGAAGTGGTGCTGTGGCTCAAGTGGTAGCGTGCTAGCCTTAAGCAAAACAACTCAGGGACAGTGCCCAGGTCCTGAGTTCAAGCCCCAGGATTGGCAAAAATAAATAATAGCAGTATGCCTTGCTGGACATATATATATATATATATATATATATATATATATATACACACACACACACACACACACACACACACATATATATGTATATATATACACACATATACATATATGTACACACATACATATTAGGATAAAGACATTCTTTTCTCTTGCCATAGGTGCATGTTAAAGATCCAAAACCATGACTGACTCCAAGTACTTCACCACCAATAAAAAGGGTAAGTAGTAGAATTTCATCACATCTTTTGATATTTTTCAAGTAGAATGTTCCTATTTCAGATATGCTACAAATTCTACAGATAAGTGTATCTGAGTAAGTTATTACAGTATAGAGTTTTCATTTATTTTGCAGTGCTAGGGATTTAATGCAGGACTTCACATATGCTAGGCAAGTGCTCCACTCATGAGCAATGACTTCTAGCTCTTTTTTATTACTTTCATCTTTGTGATCAAAATATAACTAGTTTTTATATATGCTTATAGACTAGAACTAAGGATTCGTCTTGGGAAAGTCAAACCTGCCCTCTTCTGTAAAATCATTCCTAAATAGCTAATTTCTAGAAATCTGGTTGGCCCTTCTATCAAAGACAGATGAGTCCAGTTATTCTCCACTTATTGTACCCTTAGTTGAGCTTTTATATTCATAGTTACTGATGTATTCTGAGCATGACACCAACTGCTGTTTTTGTTTTTCTTTTGTTCAGTAGCTTGTCTTGCTTCTCGGATGTATGTTTTCTCCTCTCCTCCAGTGGCTATATTTCAAATTTTCTGGCCCCGAATTCGACTTTCTTGTTTCTTTGTAGTATTTACTGGTACAATTGTCTCCATATTTAGCTGAGCTTACACACTATAGTCTGTATTGCACTAGTTAGTCAATATTGAGTATCTGCAATGTACAGCTTGATGTTGGAGTTTTTGATTTAAGTATTAAATTTCCTCCAAGTCAGAGTAGATATAGAAGACTCCTACTACACAAATCTTGGTTTCTAAATATCATTTATCACTAAAAGGAACCAGAATTTCTTGGAGAAATAACTTCTAGGGTTGGTTGAGGAAATGTAAAAGTTGGACATGAATATCTCATAAGTGCTCAAATGATAGGACATACCAAGGAGGAGCACCACAGCTTGAAATGGTCCCCACTTGTAAAATATGGATAATTTGAGTTGCAAAATAAGTGATCATAGCTGTGGATCATGATCAGTGAATAATAAGTAAAACTATCAGCCAGGCACACTGGTGGCCCACATTTGTAATCCTAGCTACTCAGGAAGCTGAGATCTGAGGATCAACATTCAAATCTAGTTTGGGCAGGAAAAGGACCTTTTTAAAATTATGCATAAAAGTTTGAGACTTAAAGATTGAGTCATTGCTAGATAAATACCATGTTTTTAAAAATGGATAGACTGTGTTCCTTTTGCTTCCTGCAACACCCACCAGAACTGCCACTGGAACATATTCTTTAAATTTATGCTTAGTACTGGAATAATTTCAGCTACATCCTGTTTTCATTCTGTAGCTCCTGCTGCTATTCACAGTTCAGACTTTCTGAAACCTGCTGTTTATCCTTTATTCTTCCCAGAAGTCAATGAGGGGAGCTCTAAGAGCTAGACTTGGCAGCATGGGACGTGGTAAAAAGGTGAATGACTCTTTGAAGACCCAGCTGTGCTATTTTGCAGCTGTTCATTAAACGAAATAGCTTTTTACTAATTTGCTTGCCTTTTAGGGATGGATATTGATGAAGCAAGCTTTTTTAGTTCTGAGTGTCTTTGTGTACAGTCATACTGGCAAATGAGATCTGGGTAAAATGAACTGGGAGACCAGTCTTCCCTTCTTCCTCTCTTTTTTTTGGGGGGGGGGTCCGGTCGTGGGGCCTGAATTTTGGGCCTGGACACTGTCCCTTAGCTCTTCAGCTCAAGGCTAGCGCTCTACCACTTGAGCCACAGCGCCACTTCCGCCTTTTTTTTTTTGCTTATGTGGTGCTGAGGGGCCAAACCCAGGGCCTCATGCATGCAAGGCAAGCGCTCTACCACTGAGCCACCTTCCCAGCCCTTCTTCCTCTCTTTTAAGAAGTTTTGACTACAGCATTCTTAAGATAAGTGAGCCTTGGGCTGGGAAGTTGGCTCAGTGGTAGAGCGCTTACCTTGCATGTCTGAGGCCCTGGGTTCGATTCCTCAGCACCACATAAGCAAAAAGAAAAAAGCCGGAAGTGGCACTGTGGCACTGTGACTCAAGTGGTAGAGCGCTAGCCTTGAGCTGAAGAGCTGAGGGACAGCGCTCAGGCCCAGAGTTCAGGCCCCACGATTGGACCCCCCCACAAAAAAAAGATAAGTGAGCCTTAAAATAATGGGAAGTTTCTGACATTTTATAAAACTAGGTCTGAACAGTAACTCAAGATTATGCCTTATGCTCTGTACTATTTTTTCCCCCCAGTCCTGCAGCTTAAACTCAGAGCCTGGGCACTGTCCCTGAGCTTCTTTTGCTCAAGGCTAGCACTCTACCACTTGAGCCATAGTGCCACTTCTGGCTTTTTCTGCTTATGTGGTACTGAGGAATCGAACCCAGGGCTTCATGTATGCTAGGCAAGTACTCTACCACTAAGCCATATTCTCAGCCCTTGTATTATTCTTTTAACTTCATAATTTTTTTGGGGGGGTGGTGGGAGGAGAGGGGGTGGAGGGCCATTGGTTGTGGGTACTGCCCTTATGCTCTATTTTTTTTTTTTTTTGCCAGACCTGCAGCTTGAACTCAGGGCCTGGGCACTGTCCCTGAGCTTTTTTTGCTCAAGGCTAGTGCTCTACCACTTGAGCCACAGTGCCACTTCTGACCTTTTCTGTTTACGTGGTGCTGAGGAATCAAACCCAGGGCTTCATGCATGCAAGGCAAGCACTCTACCACTGAGCCACTGTCCAAGTCCTGTCCCTAGGCTCTTTTACTCAAGGCTGGCACTCTGCCACTTTGGTGTTCATTTGGAGATAAGAGTCTCACAGACTTTCCTGCCCAAGGTTGGCTGTGGACCTCAGATCTCAGCCTACTGAGTAACTAGGATTATATGTGTGAACCACACCAGCACCCAGCTTAATAATTATTCTTGATGGGCTGGGAAGGTGGCTCAGTGGTAGAGTGCTTGCCTTGCATGCCTGAGGCCCTGGGTTCGATTCCTCAGCACCACATAAGCAAAAAGAAAAAAAGCCAGAAGTGGCATTGTGGCTCAAGTGGTAGAGTGCTAGCCTTGAGCTGAAGAGCTGAGGGACAGCACCCAAGCCCAGAGTTCAAGCCCCACGAACGGACCCCAAAAAAAATTATTCTTGTTACATTGCTTGGATAGGATAAGACTATAACCTTAGGGTGGGTTGGGAGGGATTAGAGCAATGATTAGAGCAAATGATTCATGATAGAGATCTCCTTGACATTCTGATTCAAGTCATTGTAAGTACTGATTCCTGTTATCCTGAGTAGAACATATATAATTGTTATCTTTAAGTATAGGAGTGTGTGGCCAAGATTGGAACATCTGGATTCAAGGAATAGCTGGGCACTTGTGGCTCATGCCTGTAATTCTAGCTACTCAGAAGGTTGAGATCCAAGGATTGCATTTCAAAGCCAGACCAGGCAGGAATGTCTGTGAGATTCATCTTCAGTTAACCACCAAAAAGCTGGAAGTAAAGGTATGGGTCTAGTAGAGCACCAGCTTTGAGCAAAAAAGCTAATAGAATGCACCCAGGTCTTGAGTTCAAACCCCAGTACTGGTAGCAAAAATGAATGAATGAATAAATAAATAGTGAGACAAATACAGATTTCTAAAACTGTTCTCTATCTACATTTACTTTGTTCTTAGGACCTTAAAATTTGGATGAAAATTATTCCTCAGTATTCTCTTCCTATTATATTTTAATACATGAAATTTGCTTTTTTCTACCGTACGGGTCCCAAGAATCTTCACTGTATGTAAGGCTGTAATTTTAAAAGTTTTTAAAGCTTTTGGTGGTACCCTAATCAGTTACAATTCTAGTGCTGTGACATTTGCCTAACCCATAACTTTTTTTTTTTTTTTGGTCAGACATAAGGCTTGAATTTAGGGCCTGTGTGCTATTCCTGAATTCTTTTGCTCAAGGCTAGTGCTCTACCACTTTGAGCTATAGAGCCACTTCTGGTTTTCTGATGGTTAACTAGAGATAAGAATTTCACATACTTTCCTGACTTGGCTGGTTTTGAATTTCAATCCTCAGATCTCAGCCTCTGAGTAAGTACCTAGGATTATAGTCATGAGCCACCAGCACTTGGCTCCGTAACTTTTTAATAATTTATTTCAGTTGCTGCCTTGCTCTCCTGGTGTTATTGCATAGTTCAATATTCTGTTCTAGTGGTCCTGGGATCTCAACCACCTCCTCTCATCTCTTGTAGGGGAAATCTTTGAATTAAAAGCTGAACTCAATAATGAAAAGAAAGAAAAGAGGAAGGAGGCTGTGAAGAAAGTCATTGCTGCTATGACTGTGGGAAAAGATGTGAGGTAAGAACATTTACTCCATCATTACTTTAGCGATACCCCTTTTAGGGCCTTTATTAATTGTACTTTAAAATCATAGACTTGTGGGGCATAGCGAAGCATGCTTATAGTCTCCGCTATTCTAGAGGCTGAGGTGGGAGGATTCCTCAAATCCAAGAGTTGGGGCACTAGTTGGGCAACAGAGTAGGTCTTAAAACTTATTAAAAGGTTTGTAGGCTAGGCGCTGGTGGCTCACGCCTGTAATCCTAGCTACTCAGGAGGCTAAGGAGATCACAGTTCAAAGCCAGCCCGGGCGGGAAAGACCATGAGACTCTTATCTCCAATAAACCACCAGAAAACCAGAAGTGATGCTATAGCTCAAGTGGTAGTGTGCTAGCCTTGAGCTGAGAAGCTGAGGGACAGTGCCCAGGCCCAGAGTTCAAGTCCCACACCAACAAAAAAAAGTTTGTTTCCCTGGAAATATCAGGTAGTATAGTGCTTTTATATTAATGCTCTGATTTAAGTGTTTTGTTTGCTTTTATTATTGCACTGATTTTGTTGCATTCAGACTTAGCCTAAAATCTGAGAGCTGGCACAGTTACAAATGCATTGCATGAGATACTTTGATGATGATAAAAAACATACTGTAAGTAAAAGCTCGTATAATTAATTGGCTAAATCCAATGCCTACAGCTTTATAATTCTATATTCGCTTGTTGAATTGAAGATGAAAATCAGTGCTAACAAAATTCATTTCGTCTTTTTTTTGTTCATTTCTATAATTTAATGATCTTGAGATTCTTTCCCAGTATATATGAAGTCAAAATTGTCTTATAATACTTACATATTACTTGTCTTTTTTCCCATATTGATGTTTACACTGATGATGTGAATCAGTGGAGCATAAAATTGCCAGTGTCTCAATGTAAACCAAAGCAGTGGGGTTGGCCATTTGTCACTGTATTTTTTCACCACCATGTCCTTACAAGACAAAAGGACTGTCCTTCATAACACATTGTACATTTATTTTCTTAAAACTTGAACTTTGGACCAAATAAGGTGGCTCATTTCTATAATTCCATCTATACTCAGAGGAGATAGAAATCAGGAGGATCCTGATTTGAGGCCAGCCTAGGTAAAAAGACCCAGTTTCAACAAACAAGCCTGGTATAGTCACACATGTCTGTAATCCTAGCTATGTAGGAAGCCTAGATAGGATGGCCAGCTTAGGATGGCCCCAACCTTAAGCTTCAGATCTGAAAAGTAACCAGAGTGAATAATGGATGGGGCATACTTGAGTCAAAGCCCAGTAGTACTCTCCAACCCACAAAAATTTGAACCTTGAGTACAGTTCTTTTTAATATACTGTGATGATGAAATTGGATTTATGCATAAAGCTTATTTGTATTGTAAAGGATGATGATTAAGAAGCCCTGTAAGATTATTTGAATTGCAAATACCTTTATGTGAAAGAATGATTGATAGAGGATGTTTAATTAGATTTTGGTATCTGGGGGACATTTGATCAAAGTGAACAAAATGAACCTGTTACTTCAAGGGAGAAATTTTGACAGCTATATTTTGAGCTTTAAAGTAAAAATTAGAGCTCTTAACTGGGCACTGGTGGCTCAAACCTGTAATCCTTGCTACTCAGGAGGCTGAGATCTGAGGATTGTGGTTCAAAGCCAACCCTGGCAGGAAAGTCTGTGAGACTCTTATCTCCAATAAAACCACTGGAAAACTGGAAGCGGCACTGTGGCTCAAGCGTAGAGCACTCGCCTTGAGCTAAAGAGCCTAAGGGATGGCGCCCAAGCTCAGAGTTCCAGCCCCATGACCAATAACAACAACAACAACAAAAATAATTAGGGCTCTTGGGTCTTTTGAGATGTGGAAAAAGGGACATGGACACTTGGTACAGCCCTGTGGTGGCAAGGCCAACACCTTCAAAGGTTGGCATGTAACAAATGTGTCTTAAGAGGAAGAATAACTGGAGTGCCAAGGCTAAGAAATGAAATACTACAGGGACTAGTTGAATGAGGCAGATTTAGGCCTAGATTTTGTGAACAACAACTAAACCCAAGAGAGCAGCTGTTGCTGCATCCAGTTTGTCTTAGAATTTCTGTGATTAGTCACACAATACTTGTTCTGATTTTAAAAGATAAATATAAAATTAGGATTTTGTAAAACTTGTATCTCTCACCATTGAGCTTGCCACATTCTTGAAACTTGTGCACCTGTCTACTGAGATTGGTGGTGAAATAAGTTAATGCAGTTATTTTTTTGTTACACGGTGAAATGTGTCAACATTGTGAAGTTCTGAATGGCTCAGTGACCCAATGTCTTGTTGTGGACCACTGCTTGTATTACAGTTATGCAGTAAAAGATCTGTAAATTATCACAAAATTATGCAGTAACAGATCCATTCAAAATACATGATAAGTATTTTAGATTTTAATGCAATCAAGTATTGATGTTTCAGAGTGATTATTCACTATAACTTTTAAGGAATTTTTCTTGTGTACTAAAAAGAAAAATCTGCACATGTGTAGTTCCTTTTTTTTTTTTGTTGGTCCTGGGGCTTGAACTCAGGATCTAGGCGCTGTCCCTGAGCTCTTTTGCTCAAGGCTAGTGCTCTAACTTTGAGCCACAACTCCAGTTCCGCATTTTGAATGGTTAATTAGAGCTAAGACTCTCAGAGGGACTTTCTGCCCCAGCTAGCTTTGAACTCTTATCTTCAGATCTCAGCTTCCCGAGTAGCTAGGATTACAGGTGTAAGCCACTGGTACTTGGCCACATGTATAGTTTCAGTGTAAAAATAGTTTCATATACATTTTCAGTGAAAATGTAACTAAAATATTAAAGATTTCAAAATGTTAATAACTTTTAAGAAAAGTTAAATATAAAATTACTATTAAGAATTACTATTACTATTATAAAATTACTATAAGAATTACTATTAAGAATATAATTACTATTAAGAAATATAAAATTACTATTATTATAGTGACACAATTATTAAATATAAAGTTATAAGTAAAATTAAAAATATAGAAACTTAAGAAATTTCTAGCTTATTTATGTATATGAAACTGGATTGTCTTCTACTTTGACCAAAGCATTCATTCTACAAAAGGATGAACAACACTAAAGAGATGTGAGAAAATATAAAACACTCTTATCTTATAATAAATTTTCACTTATTGTGTGTTTCAAAATGGGTTTGATATTTTAAGTGGATTGCTATTTTAAATTTTTCTTAGTTTTTCTTCCTAATATGGTAAAATATTAATAGATGTATAACCCACGTGAACAAAAATCCTTTGGGATTCCAGTAATTTTATGTGTGAAAGGATTCTGAAGTCAAAAAGTTGAGAACTGTTCCCATAACCAGACAAAAAACCCAGATAGAAATAGTAGTTCTAGATATGACTGTTCCAGGTGCTGTTGTCTAAGTTGGTTGTGGATGTCTGTTTCTGTTGTTTTGTCTGTTAGCCTGTAATGACATTTGGTTCTTAGATTGCTGATCAGTGGTCATCTATGTCTGGGATTGATAAAAGTTTTTCTGGAAAGGGACAAATAAGTAGTACATACTTGGAGTTAGCAGACCAAGAAGCAAAGCAGGGACTGGCAGAGTGGATCTTGTGCATCTTCTGCTTCTTTTTAAGAAGCAGAACAGAGGATATTATTTATATATATATATATTATATATTACATTTATTTATAATCAGAAAGAAAAAAAATTTGAAACATTTTTTTCTTTCTTTTTTGTTCTAGTCCTGGGACTTGAATTCAGGGCATAGTTGCTGTCTCAGGGCTTTTTTGCTCAAGGCTAGTGCTCTACCACTTTGAACCACAGCTCCACTTCCAGATTTTGGGTGGTTAACTAGAGATAAGAGTCTCTTAGGCTTTCGTGTCCAGGCTGGCTTTGAACCTCAATCCTTAGATTTCAGCCTCTTGAGTAATGATATTACAGTCATGAACCATTAGCACCTGGCTCACAAATTTCTTGATGAAATTCATGTAATAATAATTAAGTATGACATTTTGTATTACAGGTCTGCCAATGAGAGCAATGTAATTATTTTTTATCAGGTTGAAAACTTTTTTTTTTTTTTTTGTCATGGGGCTTAAACTGGGGCCTAGGCACTATCCCTCAGCTCTTCAGCGCTCTACTACTTGAGCCACAGTGCCACTTCTAGTTTTCTGAGTGGTTTATTGGAGATAAGAGTCTCACAGAGTTTCCTGCCAGGGCTGGCTTTGAACTGTGATTCTCAGATCTCAGCCTCCTGAGTAGCTAGGATTACAGGTTCATTTTGTTCACTTTGATCAAATGTCCCCCAGATACCATTTTGTTTAACTGAGGTTTATAACTAGTATTTTCTGTCATCAATTCAGTTGTACATGCTCATCTGAAAAAAAACTACTTTTAGCTCCTGATTAGTACAAAAATTTCTCCTCTTCTTCTTCCTCCTCTTCCTCCTCCCTCCTCTCTTCTCCCTTCTCATCTTCCTCCTCTTCCTCCTCTTCCTCCTCTTCTTCCTCTTCTTCCTCTTCCTCGTCCTGCATTTTTTGCTTTTGTTTTTAGACTAGCTCAGGTTGGTTCAAAACTCTGAAGTACCAGCCTGGCCCCGGGCTCATGCCTGTAATCCTAGCTACTCAGGAGGCTGAGTTCAAAGCTAGCCTGAACAGGAAAGTCCGTGAAACTCTTATCTCCAATAAACCACCAGAAAACCGGAAGTGGCGTTATAGCTCAAGTGGTAGAGCGCTTGCCTTGAGCTGAAGAGCTGAGGGACAGCGCTCAGGCCCAGAGTTCAAGGCCCATGACCGACAAAAAAAAAAACCACAAAAATAAAAACTCTCAAGTACCTCCTAATTGCTGTATTTACATACTCACCCAACTTGATCTTCTTGATCTTGTGTAGGTTGCTAGCATTATTTAGGCTCTTAGCAATTTACTACTAGTTAATGTTTGACATTTACTAATTTTACAGCAATTTTACACATGAATTATTCTAGAAAATGGAAAGCAGAAACTCATTTAGGAGAGAGTTTAAAATGTATCTAGAGGTACATGAGATCCCACAGGTATGCTGAAACTAATAGCTTGTTCCCTTGCAAAAGAGAAGTTTGTGGTTCATTGAAGATGTGATGGATTGAATATGCAGTCCATCTTCCCTTTAGTAAATATTTCTGTACCCTTTTTTGTGAATATACAGGAGTTATATGATGTGACCAGTTATTTCAGTCATTCTTTTGTCTGTGGAAATATACTGACGTTCTTTATCTTTTCTTCTATACTAGTTGTTAGATAGTTAAAAATATTTAAAATTTGTAAATATTCTAAAAAAAAACCTTAGGGGGATAGTTAATTACTAACTTTCCATAAAATTATAGTTAATCTACATTTTAAGAAATATAGCTTAGGGCTGGGATATGTAGCTCAGCAGCGAAGTGCTACTAGGTGCAATGTCCTGGGTTCAATCCCCAGTACCAAAAAAGAAAAGGCACGCACACACACACACACACACACACACACACACACACACACACACACACACACACACACACACACACACACACACACACACACACACACACAACACACACATGAAAACAAGGAAAAATATAGCTTGGATTGGGAATGTGGCTTAGTGGTAGAGTGCTTGCTTAACATACATGAAGCCCAGGTTCTGTTGCTCAGTACCACATAAACAGAAAAGGCACACACACACACACACACACACGAAAACAAGGAAAAATATAGCTTGGATTGGGAATGTGGCTTAGTGCTAGAGTGCTTGCTTAACATACATGAAGCCCAGGTTCTGTTGCTCAGTACCACATAAACAGAAAAGGCCCGAAGTGGCACTGTGGCTCAAGTTGTAGAGTGCTAGCCTTGAGCCAAAGCAGCTCAGGGGCAGTGTCCATCCCCTGAGTTCAAGCTCCAGGACTGGCAAACACCACACATACAACACCCCACAAAAACAAAAGTATAACTTAAAATCCAGCAAGTTCAGTGCTTCCAAGCAAATGGTGCTATTTGTGAATGGAAACATGTATCTCTTTCTTGTGACTTACAGAGGTTAAATCATGAAATGTCTAGTACTTGGGAAAGGAATAGACTATTATAATCAAATCTTAATACATAGAAATGTGCAATGTTTAAAAAAAGTAAATTCCACTAAAAGGAAATCAAGATGTTTTAGAATGGTTGTAGATCTAGATTAGAATTGTAATCTTGAGCCTGGATATCAAGTATCATGTTATTTGAGAATGCAAAGAAATGATTGAAAATCCAGGATCAGCACAAGAACTCAGAAACTAAGTTTCTACTTATGAACATTGAACATTGAAAAGTGTAACTGCTGTAAGTATTTAGAGATTTCAGTGGGCTGAGAATAATTATTGGTAATTTTTTGTACGATAATGTAATGGTTTTTCTAAAAGATTCCTAAAGATGTACAGTGAAATATTATAGATGAAGTGATACAATGTGCAGAACTTAATTTAAAATGATATAGAAGTTATGGGTGTAGATCAGCTGTATGGTCCTGGCCTAGCATACATGAGGCCCTGGGTTTCATCCTCGGTACCTCTAAAACAAAAAGAAGGAAGGAAAAGAGGGAGAGAAGGAAGGGAAAGAGAAAAGAGAGAGAATAAAAGAACAACCCCTGTTTGAGACCTTGGGATTGTACTTTTTTTTTTTTAGCAATTTATTTCCATGTATCAAATTATTTTTTAAGAACATTTCTTTCTTTTGTTTTTTGTTTTTTTTTTTGGCAATCCTGGGAGCTTGAACTCAGGGTCTGGGTACTATCCCTGAGCTTTTGCTCAAGGCTAGCACTCTACTATTTGAGCCACAGTGCACTTTCATCTTTTTCTGTTTATGTGGTATTACGGAGTTGAACCCAGGGCTTCATGTATGCTAGGCAAGTACTTTACCACTAAGCCATATTCCCAGCCCTTGTTTAAGAACATTTCTTTGACTGTCTTTCTGTCTTCAGCTCTCTCTTTCCAGATGTAGTGAACTGTATGCAGACTGACAACCTGGAACTAAAGAAGCTTGTGTATCTCTACTTGATGAACTATGCCAAGAGTCAGCCAGACATGGCTATCATGGCTGTCAACAGCTTCGTGAAGGTAACGTATCCAAGGACCTAAGACCACTTTCCTCTACCTCAGATAACCTTCTTTTTTTTTTTTTTGCCAGTGGAGGGTACTTATGTGGTGCTGAGAAACCCAGGGCCTTCTCTGTGTGTGTGTGTGTATGTGTGTGTGTGTGTGTGTGTACACAAACGCACATGTGTGCACCAGTACTAAGGGCCATATGCTCTTACTCAAGGCTGGTGCTATACCACTTGAGCCACATTTGACATTTTTCTGGTTAATGGGAGGTGGAGGCTCATTGACCTTTCTTTCTGGGCTAGTTTTGAACCTCAGTTCTCCAAGTTTTAGCTTCCTGAGCAGCTAGGATTAGAGGTTTGAGTCACTGGTGCTTTAGAAGACCTTTAGAGAAGGACTAGCAGTTTCATGTTTTAAGCAATCTATTTGCCAGCATGTGTCAGCTAGGGAAGTTGAAACCATATGGCAAACCTTCTGTTAGTGGAACTTGGTACATGCATCTTTGCCAAATGGGTAGAAGAAAGCCAGGTGAAACCTCACTGTTTATACCTTCCTTGTAAAAATGAGGCTTTGGCTTAAAAGCCAAAGTTATTACTTTGGGTTGAGTTAATGATTTTTTTTTGAAACATTCAAGTAGAGGGAATAGTTAACAGATTTCTAAGTTATCATGTAATTTTAAACATTACTGACGTATGGACACTAATGGTTAATTTATACTTTCTGGATGCTTTTATACTTTCTGGAGACCTCTCTCACCTCTATTTCCTTTCTTGCTAGATAAACATATCATTTCTTCTTTATATGTATCAATCAGATTGTTGTCCCCACACCCTCTTTGTACTACTGGAGTTTGAACTTAAAGGCTTGCACCTGCTTGGCAGGTGCTCTGGCACCTAGCTTTTTAGTTATTTTTCAGTAGGGTCTTGTGGTTGTGATTGCTTGTTTTCTTGTTGTTGTTGTTTTATTTTTGGTAAGTGGTAGGGCTTGAACTCTGGGCCTGAGCGCTGTCCCTCACAGCTCTTCAGCTCAAGGCTCTACTACTTGAGCCACAGAGCTACTTTGGGTTTTCTGGTGGTTTATTGGAGATAAGAGTCTCATAGACTTTCCTGCCCATGCTGGGTTTGAACTGTGATCCTCAGATCTCAGCCTCCTGAGTAGCTAGGATTACAGGCATGAGCTACCAGCTCTGGTAAAGCCCATCTTTTGTTGTTTTTTTGTTTGTTTTTGCCAGTCCTGGGGCTTGAACTCAGGGCCTGGGCTCTGTCCCTGAGCTTCTTTCGCTCAAGGCTAGCACTCTACCCCTTGAGCCACAGTGCCACTTCCGTCTTTTTCTGTTTATGTGGTATTGAGGATTTGAACCCATGACTTCATGCATGCTGGGCAAACACTCTTCCAATAAGCCGCATTCCCAGCCGATTGGTTGTTTTTTTGTCTGTATCTGGCCTCAGACTTCAGTTCTATCAGTGCTTGCCACAGCTTCAATTATAGGAGTATGCCGCCATTTCTGGCTTATTGATTGACATGGAGTCTTGGTAACTTTTTTGCCTGGGGCAGCCTCAGAACTGTGATTCTCCCAAGTGACTGGAGTTTCAGATTGTACCATCATGCTGTGCTTTCCCCCTCCCTCCTTCCCTACTTCCCTTAATAGTTGAATATACTTAATAGAAATATTCAAATAATCATTCCCTTCCCTTATTGCTGAAGCCATGAAGTAATAAGTCTTTTGTAATCAGTCATTTTTTTTTTTAATCCTTCAGAAAGGGCTTTTTGTTTGTTTGTTTTTCCTAATTGGTACTGGAGCTTCAATTCAGGGCCTGGGTAGTTCTGTCCCTTAGCCTTTTCACTCAAGGTGAACTTTTCAGCCACAGCTCTATCTATTTCCCAGAAATGTTTTTATTTTGTTTTATTTATTTTTTGCCAGTTCTGGGGATGAATTCAGAGCTGTTCTGAGCCTCTTTGTACTCAAAGGCTAGTGCTCTACCACTTGAGTAGTATATTGGAGATAAGAGTCATGGACTTTCTTGCCCAGGCTGGCTTTGAACAGCAATCCTCAGATCTCAGCCTCCAGAGCAGCTAGAATTTTACAGGCGTGAGCCACTGGTGCTTGGCTCAGTGCCTGTTATTGCCTCTGTTGCTACATTTGTGTAATAGAGAAAGTAAATTTTATATAAATATTATTACAGTCACCCTATATGCTACTAACCTACTCGTTTACATTTTACAAAGTGAAAAAATTACCTTTTAAAGTCAACTCTGAAATAGATGCATTTTCATTAATATGCTCTTCTAAGTCAGGAAAAAAGAGAGTTGAATTTTGTGTTTTTAAAAGAACAAACTCAAACTGGGTGCTGATAGCTCACACCTTTAATCCTGGCTACTCAGGAGGCTGAGATCTGAGGATCACAGTTTGAAGCCAGCCCAGGCAAGAAAGTCTGTGAAACTCTTTTTTTTTTTTTTTTTTTTTTTGTCGGTCGTGGGGCTTGAACTCTGGGCCTGGGCACTGTCCTTCAGTTCTTCAGCTCAAGGCGAGCGCTCTACCACTTGAGCTACAGCGCCACTTCCAGTTTTCTGGTGGTTTATTGGAGATAGGAGTTTCACAGTCTTTCCTGCCCGGGATGGCTTTGAACCGTGATCCTCAGATCTCAGCCTCCTGATTAGCTAGGATTACAGGCGTGAGCCACCAGCGCCCGGCTTAAAGTCTGTGAAACTCTTATCTCCAATAAACTACTCAGAAAAAACAGAAGTGACTCTGTGGCTCAAGTGGTAGAGCACTGTCCTTAAGCACTGAGAGACTCAGGGTCAGAGCCAAGGCCCTGTGTTCAAGCCCCAGAACTAGCAAAAAAAGAAACAAAAACAACAAACAAACTTAACATATCAAGCAGCAAATTTCTACTTTACTAAAGCTGTAAATCATTGTCCCTAGTATCTAAAGGACAAAATCAGGTCTCCAACTGAAACTAAAAATTATAAATTATAGGCTCAGGAACTTTGTAAACATATTGTGTAGTCATTTATTAAAAAATGAAGGGGTTAGGGATTTAGCTAAGAGGAAGAGCATGTGCCTGGCAAGTGCAAGGCCCTGTGTTTCATTCTCAGCTATGCAAAAAAAAAAAAAAGCTCAAATTTAAGAATAGTATCTCACTAGCTCAGATTTTAGCCCAGGCTGGCCTGGATCTCACAAGTATCCTGTTTCAGCCTTCTGAGTAATGCGATTATAGCCATATTTTACAATGCCTGACTCAGAATATAATCTCCTTAAAAAAAATATAACAGTACCAGCAGGGCATGGTGGTGCACACCTGTAATCCTACCTACTGAAGCAGTGAAGACAGTGGTCTGAGGATGACCCTAACAAAAGTGTGAGACTCTTATAAAAAACTGATTTGCAATTAATGTAATTCATCACATCAACAATAGCAAGGATAAGAACGACATGATTTTCTCAATAGACGCAGAAAAAGCATTAGACAAATCCAACACCCCTTTGTGATGGAAGCTCTGGAGAAACTAGAATCCAGGGAACATTCCTCAATGTAATAAAGGCTGTGGATGACAAACCTACAGCTAGCAAGACAAGGGTGTCCACTCTCTCCACTCCTTTTCACTTTAGTATTAGAATGCCTAGTTAGAGCAGTAAGATAAGATGCAAACATAAAGGGGATCCAAGTAGGGAAAGATGAAGTAAAACTCTCCTTCTTTGCAGATGACATGATCTTATATTTAAAGCATCCCATGGATTCCACTCCAGAGTTACTCAAGCTGATTTGAAACTTTGGCAAAGTAGCAGGGTATAAAATTAACCCTCAAAAGTCAGTGGCTTGGGCTGGAAGGTAGCTGAGTGGTAGAGTGCTTGCCTCATATGCATGAGGCCCTGGGTTTGATTCCTCAGCACCACATAAACAGAAAAAGCCAGAAGTGGCGTTGTGGCTCAGTTGGTAGAGTGCTAGCTTGCGCTGAAGAGCTGAGGGTCAGTGCCCAGGCCCAGAGTTCAAGCCCCACAGAAACAACAACAAATCAATGGCTTTCCTGTATGCCAAAAATGTGAAGAGTGCAGCTGAAATCAGGAAAGCAATTCCCTTTTGTAATAGCCCCACAAAAAATAAAATACCTAGGAATTGACTAAAGAAGTGAAGGACCTCTGTGATGAAAACTTTAAAAACCTGAAAAAGGCAATCAAAGCAGAACTAAGAAAATGAAAAAACCTCCGATGCTTCTGGAGTGGGAGGATTAGCATAATGAAAAAGGCATTACTGCCAAAGGCTATCTACAAATTCAATGCAATACCCATTAATATCTCAGCCTCATTCTTCAAGGAAACAGAAGAAGCAACCCAAAAATTCATATGGAACAATAAAAGACCCGGAATAGCAAAAACAGTCCTTAACAGAAAGAACAGTGCTGGAGGAATATCAATACCAGACTTCAAACTCTACTACAAAGCCATAGTACTCAAAGCAGCTTGGTACTGGCACAAGAACAGACCTGAGGACCAATGGAATAGAACAGAAGACCTAGAAATAAACTCACAGACCTATAGCCACCTAGTCTTTGATTAGGGAGCCAAAATAGAATGAAAGACAGTGTCTTCAGTAAATGGTGCTAGAAAACTTGGTTAAACACCTGTAGAAAACTAATATTAGATCCTTATATATCACCCTGGCAAACTTGGTTAAACACCTGTAGAAAACTAAAATTAGATCCTTATATATCACCCTGCACCAGAATCAACTCCAAATAGGTCAAAGACAGAAGTAAAAGCAGACACCCTGAAAACATTACAGGAAGGAATAGGAGAAGCTCTAGGGCTCCTTGGCCCAGGCCAAAATTTTCTTAATAAAGACCCAGAAACAAAACAAATCAAAGAAAGGTTGGACAAATGGGATTGCATGAAACTGCAGAGCTTCTGCATGGCAAGGACATAGCTAATAACATCAATAGAAAGCCCACAGATTGGGAGAAGATCTTCACTAGCCATACAACAGACAAGGGCCTCATATCTAAAATATACTTAGAACTCAAAAAATTAAATCCTCCAAAAACAAATCCATTAACAAGTGGGCTAAAGACTTAAAGAGAGGGGCTAGGAAGGTGGCTCAGTGGTAGAGTGCTTGCCTTGCATGCATGAGGCCCTGGGTTCAATTCCTCAGCACCACATAAGCAAAAAGAAAAAAGCGTAGAGCGCTCGCCTTGAGCTGAAGAGCTGAGGGACAGCGCCCAGGCCCAGAGTTCAGGCCCCACGACCGACAAAAAAAAAAAAAAGAAAAAAGCTGGAAGTGGTGCTGTGGCTCAAGTGGTAGAACACTAGCCTTGAGCTGAAGAGCTGAGGGACAGCGCCCAGCCCCAGAGTTCAGGCCCCACGACCAGACCCAAAAACAAAACAAAAAGACTTAAAGAGAGACTTCTCTGAAGAAGAAATGGACAGTAAACACATGAAGAAATGCTCAATTTCTCTGGCCATAAAAGAAATGCAAATCAAAACAACATTGAGATTCCACCTCACCCCAGTTAGAATGGATATAATCAAGAAATCTAGTAACAACAGATGCTGGAGGAGATGTGGCCAAAAGGGAACTCTACTGCATTGTTGGTGGGAGCATAAACTGGTTCAACCACTCTGGAAAGCAGTATGGAGGTTCCTCAAAAGACTACACATAGAGCTCCCCTATGACCCAGAAATCTCACTTCTGGGTATTTCCCCAAATGATCACAAATTAGGCATACTAAATGCCAGCACAACTGTGTTTATCACAGCATTATTCATTATAGTAAGATATAGAACCAACCCATATATCCCTCAGTAGATGAATGGATCGAGAAAATGTGATACACACACACACACACACACAATGGAATTCCATGCTTCCATCAGAAAGAATGACACCACCCATTTGTTAGGAAATGGAAAGACTTGGAAAAAAGTGTATTAAGTGAGTAAGCCAGACCGAAAGAAATATAGGTGCCATGGTTTCCCTCATTTGCAATAACTAGTATATGTCTAGGATAATTTTATCAGATGAGCAGAAAAAGCTCAAAAGCTATGTATATATGACCATATACGATGATGCTAAGGGAAATGAACCCCAGGATATAGACACAAGAGGCCTTTCCTCATTGTTGTTTTAAATGTACCACGTGATTTTTTTTTTGTTTCCATTGTATGTTCTTCCCCTTACGGTGTATCCCTGCTGTCACTGTACTACTTGCTTTTGATGTCCTGTATCTTGTATATACATTTGTCTCATTTCGGGAGGGGGAGGGGAATAACAAAATGCTGAAACAAGGACACAGGATGACCCATTGCAACAATGATACCCACAAGACAGTATATTGGAATTAAACTTTACAACTTTGCGGGGGATGGAGGGAGTAAGGGAAGTGGGGAAGGGAAGGGATGGTGGGAGAACAACAAGGGAAGGGGCAACTGCTCGACAAGAAATGTACTCATTGCCTTACTCATGTAACTATAACCCCTCTGTACAGCATCTTTATAATAAATAAATTTAAAAAAGCACAAAAAACGATTTTATGCCTATAATCCTAGCTGCTCAGGTGATCGAGGTCAGGAGGATTGCAGTTTGAGGCAACTTGTGGAAAAATGTTTTGCAAATGGGGTAGTATGCACCTGACATCTCCTCTATGGAGGGAAGTATAAGACAGAAGGATGTCAGTCTAGTACAGTTTGTGTAAAACCAAGATCTATTTCAAAAATAACCAGAGCAAAAAAAGTATTGGAGCATAGCTCAGAGAGGCCCTGAGTTCAATCTGCACTACTAACAAAACTCCAAAACTAATATAGGCGTGAATGACCGATACCCAGCTCCTTCTTGGAGAGGAATAGTATAGGAGGTTGGGTTTTGATGTAGAATGTAATTGGAAACAAATTAATGTAATACACTTAATTTTTGGATCTGGGGATTATTAGCTAGGGCCTTTTGCATGGTAGGCAGACTGTTTCCTTTGAGTCATTTGGTATACTTACAGCTGATGCTTGTTTTTTGTAGGACTGTGAAGATCCCAATCCTTTGATTCGGGCCTTGGCAGTTAGAACCATGGGATGCATCCGGGTGGATAAGATTACAGAATATCTCTGTGAGCCCCTCCGCAAGTGCTTGAAAGATGAAGACCCCTATGTTCGAAAAACGGCAGCAGTCTGTGTGGCAAAACTCCATGATATCAATGCCCAAATGGTGGAAGATCAAGGATTTCTGGATTCTCTACGGGATCTCATAGCTGATTCAAATCCAATGGTAATAAATTTCTGCTTTTATAAAGAGAGCAAACTGAGCATCAGTGACACAGGCCTCTAATCCTTGATACTCAGGAGGCTGGTATTTGAGGATTGGGGTTCAAAGCCAGACTGGGCAGAGAAATTTGAGGGTCTCTTACCTCTAATTAATCAGCAAAAGCTAGAAGTAGAAATGTGGCTCAAGTAGTACAGTGCCAACCTTGAGAAAAATAGCTAAGGGACAACACCCAGGCCCTGAGTTCAAGCCCCAGTACCAGCACACACACACACAATTGAGGAGTTAAAGAGAAAAAGTATAAGTACCAGTAGCAGCACACTCATGCATGTGCACACGTACACACACAAATTAGATGAGAGAGAGAACATGTGTGTGCATGAGCTGGGCTAGAGATGGATCTCAGTAGTAGAGCACATGCCTGGCATGTGCACAGCTCTGGATTTGATCCCCAGCAGTACAAAATACCCAAACAAATTTAAAACAACAACAGAATTACTTTGGGACCAGTGTGATCACTTCACATTGTGATCACTTCAGAGGCAAGTGAGGACGGAGGTTTTGAGGTCAAACCTGGGTACATAATGACCTGAAAGGGACATATAGTGAGACTATCTCAAAAACAAAAAATCAAAAAGAGCAACATTTAATTGCTCTCTTTTCCAGGCATGTTTCACACAAATGTCTTCGGATACTGGAGCACAGAATACCTCTGGGAAACAGAATTTCTCCTAATCGCAGATTGTTTCACACCCTACACACTTTTTGTTCTTTTTTAGTTGTTTATTTAATGATTATTTTTTCAAATAGAAATTTGTGGTATATTCTGGTATGATGACACTAGAACTGAATCAAAGTGATCTTTATTGTCTACTCTTTAAAGAAAAGCCAACTTGATTATGTTCTGAGTGTTTATCATTAACATAACCCCTTAAAATTGGTATTTAAAAAAATATTCTCTTAGCCAGCGCTGGTGGCTCACACCTATAATCATAGTTACTCAGGAGGCATTCAGAGCCAGCCAGGACAGGAAAGCCTGTGAGACTTATTTCCAATTAAACTTTACTTTTAGAATGGATGTATTCAAGTGCAAAGTGATAAACTGACTGCTGATACCTCAAGCTCATTTTAATTGATTGGTCACTAAATATTGTTACTGAGAAGTTGGAGGAGTTTCTTTAAAGTGTTCCTTTTTTTGCCTAGTGCAACATTTACTTGAAGGTGAATAATACTAGAAGGGGTGAGCCTTTCCTTTTTTTTTTTTTGCCAGTCCTGGGGCTTGAACTCAGGGCCTGGGTGCTGTCCCTGAGCCTCTTTGTGCTCAAGGGTAGCGTTCTACCACTTGAGCCACAGTGCTACTTCAGGCTGCTTCTGAGTAGTTTATTGGAGATGACTCATGGACTTTCCTGCCCAGGCTGGCTTCAAACTGTGGTCCTTAAAACTCAGCCTTCTGGGCTGGGAAGGTGGTTCAGTGGTTAAAGTGCTTGCCTTGCATGCCTGAGGCCCTGGGTTCGATTCCTCAGCACCACATAAGCAAAAACAAAAAAGCCAGAAGTGGCACTGTGGCTCAAGTGGTAGAGCGCTAGCTTTCAGCTGAAGAGCTGAGGGACAGTGCCCAGGCCCAGAGTTCAGGCCCCACGACCGGACCCAAAAAAAAAAAGAAAACTCAGCCTTCTGAGTAGCTAGGATTACCATTGGTGTCTGGCTACCTTTACATTGTTGTTGTTATTTAACTTTCTCAGTGGAGGGAGAGTTGGAATTTACCTGAAATACGTATCATCTCTCATTTGTCTTTCATTTGCTTCAGCTAGGTGTTTGGACATCTCTTTTGGTTTATCTTAGTTTATGAGTAGCTTTTGTTTATTATCTTCGGAGATTAGTAGTAAGATCAAAGGATGAAACGAGCTACATTTAAAACAGGATACTTCTGCGAGGCACCAGTGGGTCATGTCTGTAGTCATAGCTACTCAGGAGGCTGAGATCTAAGGATCGCTGTTCAAAGCCAGCCCAGGCAGGAAAGTCCCTGAGACTCGTTTCCAATTAACTGCCAAAAAAAAGTGCCAGAAGTAGAGCTGTGGCTCAAGTGTAGATCACTAGCCTTCAGCACAGAAGCTCAGGGACAGTGCCCAGTCCTCGAGTTCAAGCTCCTCCAGGACCAGCACAAAAAAAATAAATTAATTCAATTAAAATTGAAAAAGGTATTTCTTATACTGATTGTCATATCAGAAATCTTTCTGCCATTTTGTAGTCTTCGAGGTGGGGTGGAAGTGCTTAAACTACAACTCCTCATAAGTTGTTACCACAAGAACCAAAAGGTTAACCCAAGTTTTCTGTGTGTTTTTATCATTACTAAAATTCATACTGTCACTCTGAGCAGTCATCTTTGAAATTCTCTACTTGAGGACATAGAGAAGATGAACAACTAGGGTTCCAGGCATCAAGCAGATAAGCAATATTAAATAACTTTATGAAATAAAACTTAGCTTAAGGGCTTAAGGTGGATATGAATTCTAACCTCTGCAATTAAGAGTTTAAGTGAATAAGTCATCTTTCCCATTGATGTCAGTTCTTCCATACAGAACCTGTCAAATTCTGGGACAGAAGGACTGATGACTTAGTAGTCTTTTTATTTATTTATCTATCTATTTATTTATTTTATTTTCTGTTGGTCGTGGGGCCTGAACTCTGGGCCTGGGTGCTGTCCCTCAGCTCTTCAGCTCAAGGCTAGCACTCTACCACTTGAACCACAGCTCCACTTCCCCCTTTTTCTGCTTTTTTTGGGAGAAGGGTTAGGGGGGTCTGGTCGTGTGGCCTGAACTCTGGGCCTGGGCGCTGTCCCTCAGCTCTTCAGCTCAAGGCTACCAATTGAGCCACAGCGTCACTTCTGGCTTTTTTTCTTTTTGCTTATGTAGTGCTGGGGAATTGAACCCAGGGCCTCAGGCATGCAAGGCAAGCGCTCTACCACTGAGCCACCTTCCCAGCCCGCTTTTTCTGCTTATGTGGTGCTGAGGAATTGAACCCAGGGCCTCATGCATGCAAGGCAAGCACTCTACCACTGAGCTACCATCTCAGCCCCTTTTTATTTATTTTTTAAAACCCAGTAGCACTTAGATATCTTTTATTAGATCACTTCACCAAATACAAAGTTTCTGGAACTGACCTAATTTGTCTGTTTTCCCCTGGTAGATCTGGTTTTGTTTTCATCCACTTCATAGTACTCAAATGACATGTGTATGCTGTTTGTTTATGCTTTTTATTAAGCAAACCTTCAAACATAGTTGAAATTAGAAACATGAGCTTATTCCTCTTTCCCTGCCCTCCACAGCTTTCATTGAGATTGTTTTTTTTTTCCACATATACTTATATCGTATTACAAAATAATTGAATCTGTACTTTGATCTCAACATTATTCCTTTTTTGGTCAATTGTGAGCCTTGAGCTCTGGGCCTGGGTGCTGCCCCTGAGCTCTTCAGCTCAAGGCTAGCACATTTTCTGGTAGTTAATTGGAGATAAGAGTTTCACAGACTTTCCTTCCCTGGACTGGCTTTGAACTGTGATCTTCAGATCTCAGCTTCATGAGTAGCTAGGATTACAGGTGTCAGCTACCAGTGCCTGGCTATTCCTTTATTTTTTAACCTTAAAAAACAATTACAATTAAAAAGAAAAAAAAAATACCAAAAAAATCAACCTTGAGGTATTTTAATCATCACACTGATTTTTTTTTTTAATCTGTGGGGTCAAATGCTGATGGGAAAAATAGATTGAGAGCATGAATGCAAAGTACTACCCATGGTCTAGTGGTAGAAATTAAGGTTCAGTAACTCAAACGTCTCAAAAACTCCTAAGGCTGATAATGGTCCATGACACTAGGAAAAGATAAATGAAAATGTCTTTTATGACAGGCACAATAGTAAATACTTTGATGCACAGTATTTCACTTATATCTGTAAAGTGGAAGTTATTACACAGTACATGTGAAGAAATGGTATACTCAGACTAAAATATCCCCAGCTTATGCAATTGGTAGTAATATAGCCAGGATTCTTCATTGATACCGTGTGTATATACACTACAGAACCAATGTATACATATGTGTGCATGTATATATGTATATATAAAATTCACACACTTAAATTTACTTCATTTCCTCAAAATGGCTACAATTTTGAACACATAAATATCCTGTTCTATGAAATTATGTCAGTCCTCGGTCTAATGCTGGAGAGGAGTACTCATTTTACTGTTCTTGAGGAATGTTCCACATGGTGGCAGCATTAAACCAGCAAATACTGATTCTCTTATAGAAGGATTTGGATGCTTGGGGACAAGCACAGGAAAGGAATCTGCCTTAGTAGTCTTGTAACTCACACCAAAAGGAGTTTCTAGATGTGAAAGCACCAGAATGGCAGAAATGACTGGGAAACTCTTTAATAAGAGAGGAAAATGTTGATCAAAAGCTGGCAGTTCTTAGGCTTATATTGACTTTGCCTGGTTCCTAGCAACAGTGTGCTTTGCTATAAGGAATAGAAACTATTACATTTTATCTTCCTTTTTAATTTAGTTTTTTTTTTTCCAGTCATGGAGCTTGAATTCAGGGTCTGGGTACTGTCCTGAGCTTTTTCCGCTCAAGACTAATCGGGCTTGAATTCACGGCCAAGGCATTCTCCTTTAACGTAGTTACTCAAGTCTGGTGCTTTACCACTTGGGCCACATCTCCACTTCCTACTTTTTGCTGATAACTGGGGGTAACAGTCTCATATAGATTTCTGCCTTGTACTGGTTTTGAGCTGAAATCCTCTGATCTTAGCCTCCTGAGAATGATTATAGATGTGAGCCACCAGCACCCAACTCAGATGTGGATTTTACTAGTCCATATTTGAAAGTTAATCTGTATTCAGAATGAAGAAACAATTTGGAGTTAGAGAAAAACAGGTCTCCTATGAATTTCTCACAGATGCCAGCATTTTAGAAATGACAGACATCTCACAAGAAAAAATACACTTTTGAGTATGTGGTTTTTTTTTCTTTTATTCTCAGAGTAATTTGGGGATATTCTAGCTTCAGTTAACATATTGATGTTAAATTTGCCACTAGAAAAACTTCGTTAGCATCCTAGCACATGTACTTTGGGCTTTTTGTTTTTGTTTTTAGTTCAGTTATTCCAAAGCCTTTTGCTTGCCGTTCCTGTCATCTCCATCTTTCACATCTTCTGTCTCTCTCAGAGCTGCTCATAGGATACCCCTTTTCAGTGCTCTGAGAAAATTGTAACCTCATCAGTAAAAAGTATATTTTCTGTTTTTTAGGGTTCTTTTGAGTAGGTGTACCATCAGATTAGCCTCATTTTAGGCTGGGTATAAAAGTTCTATTTAAACTGCCAACTCCTCTTTATTTGAACTTTTTCTGGAAAAACATTTGAAGGAGAACATTAAAGAAATGTGTATTTTAATGGTGTGTTAGTCAGCAGGCACATACCACATGGGATGATGATGTTTTTCAATCAGGGGTGATTTTTTCTTTTTTTCCCATAGCAGATATTTGGAAGTATCTGAAACAATTGGTTGGCACAACTGTGGGAGGAGCATTAGTGGTATCTAGTGGGTAGAGTTCAAGGATGCTTTCAACCTCCCATTTGCACATGGGAGGCCCCATCAACACCACAAAGCTTTATCTGGCCTGTCAATAGTGCCTAGGCTGTAAAACCCTACCTAGTTTATATATCCAAAATGTTGCAGAATTGGAAAATTGTGAGAAATCCTGTGAAGAGTGTTTGTTATGGCTATGCTGTTCTAGGTCAGCAAAATTGTGTCTTGTTTCTTTCTCAGGTGGTGGCTAATGCTGTAGCAGCATTGTCTGAAATCAGTGAGTCTCACCCAAACAGCAACTTACTCGATTTAAACCCACAGAATATTAATAAGCTGCTGACAGCCCTGAATGAGTGCACTGAATGGGGCCAGATTTTCATCCTGGACTGCCTGTCTAATTACAACCCTAAAGATGACCGGGAAGCTCAGAGGTCAGTCCATTTTTCTGGAGAATATGTGGTAGTCTTGACTGATGGAATAAAGTCTCATTTCTGTTACTACCCTAAATGTCTTATCAATTGAGGAAAGTCAGCAGATTTGGGGCAGACATTGCTACCCCTCCACTCCCAGGTATTTTCTCACTGGATTTAGGAATACTGTAGGTTATGGAGCCAGACAAAAATTGCTGTTTTTGAGATGTACGTTTCTCACTTCTTGTTTGAAGAGTACAGTTCTCTTGGCTTCAAATTCCCTTGAATCTCTCTCTGTGTAGTACTTGCTCCACTCTATTAGATAAGTGTTTGATACTTGTTATTGAGCTGTGTAACACCTGTAGTTTAGTATTAGAGAAAATATTTAGTGTCAGCAAAGTATATACTGCATCCCATTATATACAGAAATCGTCAGTCTGAATTTGGAGATTCTGGAAGGCACATCTTGATCATGCTGCTCAGCCTTTTACCACTTTAGTGTTATAAGTTTTCCTTGGCAAACTGCCTACTAAATGCATACACATACACATCTTAATTTGCAAATTTGGAGTTAACACCAATTTTTACTGAATATTTTGTGTAAGCACTGTACTAGACAATATACTTCTGAAGAATTGTTGGCTCTTCATTAAAGTTGACATATTATAATTATGGTAGATAAGAACCCTTCTTGCCTGGCTGAAGTTGATTTCCAAGCTACTAGAATGTAAGTGTTCATTGCTTGTTTGGGAAATTGTTCCCTCTGGACAGACTGAACTAAAACTAAAGCCCTTGATAGTTTTTTTTCCATTTTTGAATACAAATAGATTCTGGAAAGAACTTTATCTAAAATTTTATTTTCTGCTGGTCATTGACTGACATTGCACTCATTTATTCAGTTCATTCATTCAGCAAATTGTGACATTGTAGAGCACTTAGTCTGAGGATGGGGGTAGGTGTATGGGTATAGGTGTACATGTACATGTGTGAGTGTGTGTTGAGGTTTTTTTTTTTGTTTTTTTTTGTGGGGGAGGGGTCCAGTCATGGGCTTGAACTCTGGGCCTGGTCGCTGTCCCTCAGCTCTTCAGCTCAAGGCTAGTGCTCTACCACTTGAGCCACAGCGCCACTTTCATCTTTTTTTCTTTTTGCTTATGTGGTGCCGAGGAATCGAACCCAGGGCCTCATGCATGCAATGCAAGCACTCTACCACTGAGCCACCTTCCCAGCCCGAGGTTTTATTTCAATACAGTATGTAAATATATCAGGGGTGATGAGTGTTAACAAAGATAAAGAGATTAAGGAATTGTATCTTTTAGAAAAGTGAGGGGAAAACTTCACTTTGAAGCTAGCATTTGAGTAAAGATCTGAAGTTGGTAAGCAACCAGCCAAGTGGATACAATATAAAAAGAGAGTAATGTAGGGGCTGGGGGTTAAGCCCAGCGGAAGGGTGCCTACCTGGCACGCGCAAGGCCCTGGGTTCGGTCCTCAACCCTGGGGGAAAAAAAAAGAGTAATGTAGCCTACTTGGTTAAGGACCTACTCAGTAGATTGACCAAGAGCTTATCAAACTTAGATTGATTTCAGAGAAGCCTACTGCATTGATAGTTAAATAGCTTAAGAGTGCTAGAGGAATCTTAGCGTGGGAGTGGCTAGGAGAAAAAGAGGAAGTGAGAGAATAATGCAATGCTGTTCTTATACTTAAAACCAGCCAGGAGCTGGTGGCTCCTGCCTGTAATCCTCACTACTCTGGAGGCCGAGGTCTGAGGATCATGGTTCAAAGCCAGCCTGAGCAGAAAAGTCTGTGGGACTCTGTTTTGTTTTGGTTTTTTTTTTGTTTTTTTTTTGTTTTTTTTTTTGGTTAGTGGTGGGGCTTGAACTTGTTGTCTGGGCACTGTCCTTCAGCTCTTCAGCTCAAGACTAGCACTCTACCACTGGAGCTACAGCACCACTTCTGGTTTTCTGTGGTTTATTGGAGATAAGAGCCTCACAGACTTTCCTGCCGGGATGGCTTTGAACCGTTATCCTCAGTCTTCTGAGTAGCTAGGATTGTGAGCCACTAGCTCTGTGGGCCTCTTATCTCCAATTAGCTACCAGAAAACTGGAAGTGGAGCTGTGGCTCAAAACAGTATAGAGTGCTAACCTTGAGCAAAAAGAGCTTAGGGACAGCACCCAGGCCCTGAGTTCAAGCCCTGTGACTGACAAAGTAAAAATAAATCAATAAGACAAAATCAACAACAAAAAAAAAAAATTCAGAGCTTTCCTTATTAACTTGAAAGCAGAAGGTTGGAGAGGGTGTAGTTTTTCCTGTCCACCCACCTTTTCCTGTACCTTTCAGTGAAATCTTAAGTCACAAGTTGGTTGAAATCACTCACACTATGAAATGTGTTTCAGAATGCTTACTTTGACTTCCTATAGGTTGAGTAGAAATGGGCTGTAAGGCAGGGAGGCCTAACATAATATGGGGAGACAAAGGACTGTAAAATGAGAAGGTAATCGGTGTGAGTTCATGTGTTTTGGGGTACTGCTAGTTTCCTTATAGTTTGAACATCCCCTACTGCTGGTTTCCTAAAGTGTTCTGGTGTTCCTGCTCTGCCTGTAATTTGCTGGGTATATGGCTTCTGCGGTGTTGAATCCCAATTTGACCTAAGCATGGAGCTTTAATTTTTCTAACTGATTCTTGAGTTTCTTATTACTTGGGCCATGGGACTCTGAAATGCTACCTTATAGAGTGGATTGGACAAAGACACTGTAATTCAAACTACTAATTGTTCCTTTTCTACCCCCAGCATCTGTGAGCGGGTAACTCCCCGGCTATCACATGCCAACTCAGCAGTGGTGCTTTCAGCAGTAAAGGTCCTAATGAAATTTCTAGAATTGCTACCCAAGGACTCTGACTACTACAATATGCTGCTGAAGAAGTTAGCTCCTCCACTTGTGACACTGCTGTCTGGAGAGCCAGAAGTGCAATATGTCGCCCTGAGGAACATCAATCTAATTGTCCAGAAAAGGTTGGGAAATAGTGAATTGGTAACTTAAAGTTTTTATGAATCTGAATTAAGCTTAGTAATATAAATGCTTAGTAGGCCAATCTTAATCTCCTTTTACTGTATGGAAATAAAAATGTCAGCAGAGCAAGATCAAAGATCATTGGATTTATAGTCGATGCCAGAGTATTCTTATAGTAAATGTCTGATGTTGCTCTGTAGTGAAGCTTGTTTTCTGAAGGATCTGTTCCTGATATATTGCTATTGATAGGTTCAGCCTGTAATTTAGAGCTAGTTTGTTTTTCTTCTAGCTATTCATCATGGCAGCTTGTACCCTGCTACTTGAAAAGGATAAAAATAGTCTGCCAGATGGAACTGATGAGGATAGATGGACTGGGGATATATAGCTCAGTGATAGATCGCTTATATAGAATGTGTGAGTCCTGGGGTTTGATTCCTAGTAACTGGGAGAAAAAAAGAGAAGTATAGAGGAACTTCATGAGTTTTCTTCATAAGAGGAGTAAAAGAAAGGGAGAGAGACACTGATTAGATATTAATACAAACCCAGAAGGATCTATCAATAAATACATATATTCACTTGTCTTTCCTATATTTTTTTGTGTAGACCTGAAATCTTGAAGCAGGAAATCAAAGTCTTCTTTGTGAAGTACAATGATCCTATCTATGTTAAACTAGAGAAGTTGGACATCATGATTCGCCTGGCATCCCAAGCCAACATTGCTCAGGTCCGGCTTTATACAGTCTCAGAAAATCTGGCTCTCAGAAGAGACTTGTCCATGAGATTGATGTTTGAGAAGGCCTGATGTTTATATGCTTTCTGGATATTTGACAGGTTCTAGCAGAACTGAAGGAATATGCCACTGAGGTAGATGTTGACTTTGTTCGAAAAGCTGTTCGAGCCATTGGACGATGTGCCATCAAAGTAGAGGTAAGTGTCCACTGGAAGTTGAAATTACATTTTATAGAGTTTGAATGTTCTCTTTTTTCCCTTTTTATTTTCTCTCCAAGACTAGCACTCAAACTTGGTATCTGATGCTTTTACTTGTTGGCTGGTGTTTTACCACCAGAAACACACCTCCAGCCCCTCTTTTTTTTCCCCTAGTCATGGGGCTTGAACTCCTCTCTGGCTTGAAGCTAGCACTCTGCTGTTTGAGCCACAGCTCCACTTCTGGTTTTCTGGTGGTTAATTGGAGATAAGAGTTTCAGATCTTTCTTACCCAGGCAGGCTTTGAACTGTGGTCTTCAGATCTCAGCCTCCTGAGTAGCTAGGATTAAGGTGTAAGCCACTGGCACCCAGCATCTGCTTCAGCTTTTTAAGTGCTGGGATTACAGGGTTGTAATCTTAATTTACTGCTTTGAAAAAAGAAGCTGAGTTCATACATCTCACCATTCACACTTCTCTATCAGTTTGTTTTTCTTTGTTTACTGGAGTTTGAAATCAGGTCCTTGAGCTTGCTATGCAGGCTCAACTACTGAGCCACATTTTTCTTCAGTGATTATATTGACTCTCTCTCTCTCTCTCTCTTTCTCTCTCTCTTTCTTTCTTTCTTTCTTTCTTTCTTTCTTTCTCTCTCTCTCTCTCTTCTCTCCCTCTCCCTCTCCCTCTCTCCCTCCCTCTTCCTCTCTCTCCCTTCTCTCTCCTTCCCTCCCCCCTCCTCTCTCTGTCTTCTTCTCCCCTACCACCCCCCCCCAGTGTACATAGCCTTCCTGTTTTATGTTTCCAATAGAGCAGGAATAACAGACATATACCAACTACCATGTCTAGTTCCTTTTTTTTTTTTTTTTTTGGGTCCGGTCATGGGGCCTGAACTCTGGGCCTGGGCGCTGTCCCTCAGCTCTTCAGCTCAAGGCTAGCGCTCTACCACTTGAGCCACAGCGCCACTTCCGGTTTTTTTCTTTTTGCTTATGTGGTGCTGAGGAATCGAACCCAGGGCCTCAGGCATGCAAGGCAAGCGCTCTACCACTGAGCCACCTTCCCAGCCCCATGTGTAGTTTCTTTTATCAAGATGGAGTCTTGCAGACTTTTTTGCCTGGGCTGCCTAGAACCATGATTCACCCTGTCTCAGCTTTTTGCTTTGCTGGGATGACAGTCTGGATCTTTTTGCTCAGACTGGTCTCAAACTTCAGCCTTTCCATTTTTTAAGTAACTAGGATTACAGGTGTGAGCTATGACACCCAGATATATGAGGTCTTTGTTTCTGTGTTACCTTGGTAAATTATGATCATATGTCCTTATTACTTGTTCTTTCTACTATAGAGTTTTAAAAGTTATATGTGACTATGTTGGATATAATACAAATAATTCTTTTTCTAACATGTGTCTTTATTACACCCCTGTCGCCTTTCAGCTCCTCAAGCATAATTTTAGACCCATAAATCACCTGTGTTTCTAGGCCCATCTCTCTTTGTCTTGTCTTGCTATTTCAGTCTGGCTGATGGCTTCCTTGGACTCTGCCTTGACAAGAAAAGAAAAATCCTCTATCAAATTTATTAGTAATGAGTAAGATTTTGTGCATATCTAGAACTTCTCATGTAGACATAAATCAGATAGCCAACCTGCAGTATAGGTTGGTCAAATTAAGTACTTGTTCAATTAGTTGAGTTTATTGAACAGTGTATTTTATTGAAATGTGATGGACATGTTACTGGATACATCATATGACTTCTCATTTTTTATATTCCTTTTCCTAGCAATCTGCAGAGCGCTGTGTAAGCACATTGCTTGATTTAATCCAGACAAAAGTAAATTATGTGGTCCAAGAAGCAATTGTTGTCATCAGGGACATCTTCCGCAAATACCCCAACAAGTATGTCTGAATTTTTCTTTTTCAGATCATTTGGGAAATGTTTAAATAAGGAACTTTAAAATTTACTGAGAGTCATGCTTTTATTATGACCAGCCATTAGTGGGATACTTCATTTAAATCACAAATATATAAAGCAATTAGTTAATAAGGAATAAAACTATTACTTATAGAAGAAATGAAACTCTGCTTGAATATGCACTGTATATGGCATAGTTAACATTTCAGGTCTTTGATGGCAAGATTACCACTAAGTAGGGAACATATATTCCAGGTTGTGTGTGCATACTCTGTTCTGCCCATTTGAATGAATGGGACTTTTCCCTCTCACAGTATTTCCGTTTGAATATACCACGTGGCCACTTGGTCATAAAAGCCAGGAAGGTAGCAGCTGTACTGTTCACTCTGGAAAATAATATAGCAATAAATTGCCAGCCTTTTCTGAAGTATTATAGCTGTTCCCATACAAAAATCTGCCTTTTAACTTCACACTTGTTTCATATTGAGGCCTCTAAATTTATGCACTAAAAATAACTTTTTCTATTTGATTCTGAAAGCAAGCAATTAAGAAAGCTGAGTGATCTGGGCGCTGGTAGCTCATGGATGTAATCCTAGCTACTAAAGAGGCTGAGATCTGAACATTGTAGTTTGAAGCAGGAAAGTCCATGAGACTCTTATTTCCAATAAACTACTCAGAAAATGCTAGGAGTGGTGCTATGGCTCAACTGGTAGAGCACTATCCTTGAGCACAAAGAGGCTCAGGGATAGTACCCAGGCCCTGAGTTGAAGCCCCAGGACCCAAAGAAATCTGAGTGAAATAAGAGTAGGTCTGTGAACATCACTGCTTACAGCTAGTGCTATAATAACACTTGAGCCTTGCCTCTAGCTCACTTCTCAAGATTCTAAATCTCATTTTGCCATCTAATCATGAAGATATGTTGTGTTAAAGCTTCTGATTAGTCTTTAAATATAATTTTAAATGAAGCAACTTGCAGTAAATTAAAATGTATTTAAGATATAATAGAAGCATTTTGACAAAGTAATGGTTTACTAAGCTTGAAAATAAAGTCCAAAAAATAACTTTGTAAATTTTAGAAATAGTACTTTTGGAAAGAAGACCATAAACTTTTATCATTCTCCTAGAAAAGGGTCAGGTTTCTAAAATTTTTGACTAAAGATGAAGACATTTATGTCACTGTGATTAAATAGAGAAATGTCTCACTTGTGTTTATGAGTGGTTATGACAGTTTAATTTGAAGATTAAGAAAGTAACCAAGAGCCTGTTCTAATCAGTAAAAGTAGGGTAGGCAATTAAATGTACATAGCCAAGGAAAGGGATTCAACGTGATGAACATGAGAGAGATTATAAAAATAAATATTTAAATTACTTATTTCTTAGGGGGAACAGATCAATGTGTGTGCTTTAGGGAGAAAGAACTTAAAGGCCTCTTACTGAAAGAAAGATGGGTACAATTAAGTGACAGTTAACTGTTTCTAGTCTGGATGATCCTGTTTTCTAATTTTATTTTCTAAACACTGTGATTTCTGGCAGCAAAATGACATAAAAGGAAAGCTCTCTGATTGTTTTAAAAATGATTATTAGAAACTCAAGATGGTGGTATTGTCTTACCATAGGTTTATTTTTCTCTATGAAAAGATCACCTGAGAGGGTTTTGTTTTCTTTGTGAGGGGTAGATTGGATTGTTGTTGTTGGTGGTGGTGGTGGTGGTGTGCGTGTGCGCGTGCGCGTGTGTGCGTGTGTGTGTGTGTGTGTGTGTGTGTGTGTGTGTGTGTGTG